ATTTTAATATGAATGTTTATTCATATTCAGGATTATATTGTTGCAAGCCTTTTGTTCCCTATATATATTTATTTTTTTACAACATTTTATTCCCCATATTAAAATTAGAGCTGATCACACTGAGCCCGGCCTGATTTTGGGCAGAATTTTCCGGCCCGAAATCGGGTCGGGCCCGATTTTTACAAAGTTTGGATGGGTTTGGGAAATGGATTTTTTTTGCATTTTTAATTAATTTTTGGGCCCGACTCAAAATTGGCTCGAAAAGCCTGTATGGCCTGACTAGTTCGGGAGGCTTTGGGCACACGTTTTCCGGCCCAAAGTTTGGCCCGGCCCGAGAAATTGACAAAATTTTTAACCTCAGCTCGACCCAAACCCGACCCGCCTCACCCATTGATCACCTCTTAATTAAAATACAAAGTATGCTAGAATGCATGTTTTATTGTTTGGTACTCCCTCCGTATCCTTACCTTATAAAAAATTAGAACATAACTCTTAGGTATAGTGTGCTACCAATTATACCCTAAAAAATATGTACAAAAATATATATTTACTTTTTTACCCTCATTAATATGTTTACTCTCGTTAATATGTCTAATTTTTTAATCATTTTTTTACAAGTTTTAATCATTAAACATATCATCAATAATAATTACACTTTAATAAGTATTTTAATACCACGACGAATGGGTTTCAGGACACCCGTTCCACGGCGGGGTTTGTAGGTAACGCTACCAGATCGGCGACTGGAAGCACTTGTTTCAAGGGTTTCATGGCAAGTTAGATCTAGGTTTTTGTCACTACAGGAAGCCATTGACAGAGGAATTGAGAGAAAACCAACAAAGGAGTACAGAGAGAGAGAGAGAGAGAGAGAGAGAGAGAGAGGAATCGATTCGGCGAGAGAAGAGAGAGAAAGTAAGAACTAGGGTTTAGGTGGGAGGGATTTATTATGGAGAATTCTCCAGAATAAATGAACTCCAACCAATTCATCAGATGAATTGAATGAGGAGCATTCAATTGAGGCAGTTGGGGAGTTGATGAATTTGAAGGGTTGGGGTATAATTTTGGTGGGAATGATTAATTTAATTAATCAGTCTTCTTTATTAATCAGATAAGGTTAGTAATATAACTAAGTTGAATTATTAAAAAAATAAGGGTACAATGGTAATTTTACATAAAACATTTTTACTAAAAAAGGAAAGAAATGGGAAAGTTGCGAGTAAATTGGATCATCCCAAAAAGGAAATAGTTGCGAGTAAAGTGGAGCGGAGGTAGTATAACTGTATAAAGTACGCTAATAATGCATGCTTGGTGACCTTTTAAAGTGGGCCTAGCTTAGAGCATAGTCAGCATACAAATCTGATGACAGTTGCCTAAAATATAGTAATATACTATTACTTCGTATCTAATTCTATCTACTTAGGCCCTGTTCTTTAGAGCTGCTCAGCTCAAATCAAATCTTCTCTGCTCTGCTCTACTCAAAAGAAATCTGTTCTACTCTGCTCTGCTCTATTTTCATATGATAATTAATAATAACAACAATAATAATTAATATTCAATAATAATAATTAATATTATATTGATGATAATAATTTATTATTTTGAATATTTTTTTTATAATAATTATTAATATTAATAATAATTAATATTTGTTAATCATAATAATAATTAATCATAATACTCGTAATAATTATTAATAATAATTATCAATAATAATATTTAATAATTCAAACTATTAAGAATATTGAATTGGAGCTATGAATTTGATGAATTACATATAAATTTTTCTGCTCACAAAAATTGACGAATCAATTGATTTGGAAATTCGAAACGTATATTAGGTTTTTGGAATTTTACAGAGAGAGGAGAATATCAAGGAAAGAATGAGGAAGGAGGGTCGTATTTTGTTTTTTAGAAGGGTGTTTTAGAGTAAATAGGGGTTGTATTTAGCAACCGTGATAAAAAAACGCATTTGCAAAAGACTTATTTTAATCAATAAATAAAATGATTTGTCTTTTTATTAAGCAAAATTAAAGAATAAGGTTTGAGATTTTAAATTCAAGCTTAAAGTTAAAAAAAAATTATCTTATGATATTAGGAATTATATTCAAATATCCAATGAATGATCTTTATATAAAAAAAAATCTTAAATTAATTAAAAAGATTTACTAGAACCGTGCATTGCACGGGCTAATATTTAGTTTAAATTAAATGCAAATGTTTTAATATTTTTTTAAGGCAATGTTTTTATATAAATTGAGTGAGATTCAGGTTTTTTTTTTTTTTTGAAGAAAAATTCAGTTCTTTAATTGATGGTTGAAAAAATGCAAAAGAAGAGACATGACGATATTTTGAAGGCCGATCAAAAAAGCAAAAATAATTAAATAAATAAATGCAATTCCTCTCAAAGGCTCAAGAAAAATCTTAAATTCTTAAATATGAAGTACAGTATTTAGCTTAGTTATTTCCTTGTTGCACCGGCAACGCGGCGGCTAGAAATTGAAGTGTACGTAAAGAATTCAAGTATTTCAGTCAATCAATTTTAAATTCTGGCATTTAATAGCCTTTTTCCACAGGCCACATGGAAAGATGACAACATCTCACAAAATTTTGACAATTCCTTAAAAAAAAGACAATTATAGCACCAAAATTTCCTAACTAATCATCCAAACACCTTGTTTTTCTTATCGTATTCCTTTGAAAATTAAACTATAAATTTTGGAATAAAAATACAATAGAATAATCAATATAACGTATCACATAAAAATCTTACTTTGACAATTCTTACCATTATCACGTCTAATGCAATTGCAACAAAACATGTAATGAAAATTAGATTAATTAATTAGGCGCCTCTAAACCAGGATGTTTCATTCTAAGGTGGAAACCAGATTTACACTAACTTAGCACCCACATTTTAACTGAAAATAACTAGAGCTACGAGCTATATGAGCAATTTAAGGATTGATATGATTCAGGTTAAATTAACTTGTGTTAGGTTTTGAATTCGTAAGGTAATCTCCTTAACTTACAGAAATTTAAAAAAAAAAAAAAAAAAAAGAAAAGAAAAAAATGTATTGAATTGACCATGACTCGGGCAATCCATATATCATCTAAAATTTCGATAAAAGTAGAAGAACATCAAATAACAAACTGAAAACATCCAAGGACACCAATTTATATGATGTCACGATAATAACAAGAAGTAGGCCTTGCAATTTTGTAAACCATTAATTCATTCAGCAAAGTTATTGCACCCCCCACAAACAAGTTGCACTATTTCAACACCAAATTAATTAAAATGACCACTTTATTGTTCATGACTCCGACCCTCGTTTAACAATACTTGTAGAATATACCCACCTACAATAGGTGGGTTAGCAATTTCAAAATGGATGATTTGTCACTATCATGTTGGAATTTACAATACTTGTAGAATATGAGAGCAATTATAAATTAATGATACTTGTAGAATATTGTTAATTAAAGTTTTATACAAAGAAGGTAACATGAATTGGTTATACACTTATACTACGTATTAATGTTATGGGGAAAGTCGGAGAAAATATAGTAGGGACTAGAGGGGCTTTTTGTTAATTAAATTGAAAAAAAAAAAAATTAGTAGATGATCATTCCCACAATATATATATATATAAGAAACTTCGAACACCTGACCTCGTAGAAGAAAAATTATTGTTTAACCATCTTAGCTAATTATCAATTATGCTTTAACCTTGTACAATAAATAATATTATACTACAAAGTATTGAAGACATATTACATACGTACGTGCAAACTATTGGATGCTCCTAAAAATTAACAGTTGCACAACTATAAAATGAGTAACCCCGGACAATGCTCGGGCTACTCACTAATGTAGACTTTAAACAATGAGGTTTTTGAGAAATGTCGCCTTTATTTATGGTCGAGTGTGTATGATTTTTTTTATTCAAACAATTTTTATATTTATCTCATTTCTCTTTAACACTTTCAATTTTTGCACAATTTATACATTACATTTAAGTAATTCCAATGGTTGTATCTAAGAACTTGCTTGCAATTTAGAAAATATCCTAGCTATCAGCTTAACCATTGTATTTAAAAAATTAGATTAGCTTGGTCAAGCAAATTAGCTTAGCTAAGCTAATTTACTTGAGAATTAACTTGCCAAAAAGATAGGTTGATACATTAATGAAATTAAATGTACAAAGCTAATTAAATTTAGGCTCAATCAAATCACAAGCTACTAGTTAACCATTTGAGCACAAAGTAGCTACTATACAAAAGAAGTTAGCTTTTTTTTTAAAAAAAAAAGACAAAAGAAGTTATAATTAGCTTATAATCTTGTATGGCATAACAAGCTAATTTGCTAATTAGCTTACCATGCATGCTCTTAAAATCTTGTATGGCATAACTACTCCTTGAAGAAATATACCCTATATCCATTCTCAAAGGTTTGATGGACTTAGTTTTATGAAGTTTTATATTTTGCAACCCCTTTATTACTTCAATTTATATTCATTCTTTCCCCTTTTATCCCACTTTATTACATTTATATGTCCGCTTTCTGTTATGTTATCCACATACTAATTACTTCACGTGTCTTATATTTATTTACATTTTTTCATTACTTATACATCAAACAGTTATTAAAAAAATACAGAGTATTAATGATTAAAGTTTAGAGTTGAAAGACATAGAAATTAAGAAATATTATTCCATGTATTTAAGAACAACCCCTGCCAATCGAGAACATTATCATGTTATGCATATATAGCTCTACATTACTATTCAAAAAAATAAATAAATTAATAAAAAAATAAAAATATAGCTCTTCATTGACTGCCTCTTGCTTTGACTATTTCTTCCATTCAGTATTATCAAGTCTAGAACAATAATGCACCAGAACACGCAAAGAAACTAGATTAGATCAGCCTCCCGTCAAATAAAAAATTGTCAGATTAGCCGCCTCAAAACTCTATATAAACACCCCTCATCATCTCTACATTTCCTCACATCAAAACTACATACAATAATTATTATTTAAACACACCATTTCATTATGAGTCCTATATCTGCTTCTCTTGTTACATTGCTACTTTCCATCATCACCATCACCCATGCAACCACCATCACCGTAGTCAACAACTGTGACTTCACCGTGTGGGCTGCTGCCGATCCAGGAGGCGGTCAGCAACTCGCTAAAGGAAACACCTGGGACGTAAACCCAGCACCCGGGACTAAAATGGCACGTATTTGGGGTCGTACCGGGTGCAACTTTGATGGCAATGGTAATGGCAATTGCCAGACTGGAGGCTGTGGAAAACTAGTGTGTGACCCGGGTAATTGGGGTACTATCCCAAAGACTCTGTTTGAGTATGCACTAGCACAACCCAATAACCCAACCGACACCATCGATATCTCACTAATTGAAGGCTTCAATATCCCTATCTCCTTCACTCCCACTTCCAACTCCGGTGCACTTGATGGGAAGTGTCGTACAATTAGTTGCACGGCTGATATTAACGGGCAGTGCCCTCAGAACTGGAAGGTTCCGGGAGGATGTAACAGTCCTTGCACGACACAAGGGATCGGATCGTGTGGTGCTAGTGGTGACTCTACATTTTACAAGCAAAGGTGCCCTGATGCTTACAGTTTCCCTGAAGATGATCAAAGCAGCACTTTCGCTTGTCCTTCTGGAACTAATTACAGGCTCACTTTCTGCCCTTGAACGTTGATGAACAACTAATAAAGGGTGTCGTAACATGAGTACATGAAATGTTGAATTAAAGTTATAGATTGATGGAAATTTAACTATATTTGTAATAATCTAGAGCTAAATGTTCTTATAAGTTTGGCTCTGAAATTCTGTATTTTCAGCTGAAAATAATAAAATGATCATAATAATAATATGTATTGTTGTGCTTATTCCTCGTTTGTCTTTTCTATACTCTATTCTTCTATACCATTATTTGTTGGAAATTTTGTCAAATTTTAAGCAAACCGTTATCTGGTTAACCCAAAAAATATAAGGGCCCTATTTGGTAGAAAGCTGAAAGCTGAAGCTGATTGAGTTATTTGATTTTGACTAGCTGATTTTATTAACTGATTTGACTAACTTATTGTATTAACTGGTTATATAAAAGTGTTTGGTAAATAGTTGATAGCTTAAAGGTGATTGAGTATGTGAAATGACCAATAAGCTAATTGTGGGGTAGGTAGTTTAGATAGGATTTTAATTTATATGAGGTTATAAGTGTCATTTCACAATAATTAATGAATAAGCTAATTGAAAAGGCTCCTAAAATGAGATTTTTCAAAAAGAGCTTATTTAGTGGAATAAGCTTACTACCAAACACTTGTATTAGATTGTTTGACTAGTCAATCAGCTAAAGTTAGTCAAATAAGCTAATATACCCCCAATAAGCTTACTACCAAAAAGGGCCAAGAATAAACCCTTTGTTTACCTAAAAGTAAGTTAGCTTTTTCAGACTATATATTTCCTATAATGAATAAGGGGTAACAAGTTGATTAGATTATTATTATAGCATTTTTCATAATATCATTGGTTCTCTTTTACTTTTTCTAAGGGCAATAAATCCTTTCAAAGATGACCCATAAATGATAAATATTATTGGAACAATGCGTCTTGTGTGCGGCTGGCCACCATGTGACCACTTGAGAAAAAACAAAATAACCCTTATAATACTAAATGAGTAACCTCTATAATATTGGCCGATCGCGAGTAACCCTTAAGTAATCTTTATAACACTGACGAAGAAGTAATAACCCCTGTGAAACTGAATGAGTAACCCCTGTGACACTAACGAAGTAACCCTCATGATGGATGGCCATAATACCGTGTAGCCAGCCACATACCCTCCGTTACAAGTTACTCGCAACAAAGAGATGCAACAAAGAGATAGTTTGCGGGCTCCTATGCAAAATATCTTAAGTGTAATTATTGAAAAATAAGGGGATGTACTTAGTATTAATCCAATTAAAAAAAAAAAAATAAACACTAAACACCAATCACCACAACCACCATCACCTGGCAAAACCACAACCACAACCACGAAAACACCACCACCCAACAAACCACCAATGAGCCCAACACCACTAACGAACCTAGTGAACCCTTGATCAATGAACCCAATTCAACGAACCCAACACGAACCCTTCGCGAACCCACGATCAACGAACCAACACCACCACCACTTGCGAGCCCTTCGTGAAGCTGCAAAGCCACCGAACCCACTACAACCCACCACCACCCACCCCGAAACCCACACCCACGAACCCATACCCACAACCCCAAACCCCACCACCCACAACCCCGAAACGCACAACCCACAAACCCAGATCCACCACCCACAACCCCGAAACTCACAACCCACAAACCCAAAACTCGAACTCAAACCCAGAAACCCAAAATCTAAAACCCACAACTCTATCATCGATTAAAGCTTTAATTGGTCAAATTTAACCATTAAAACTCCAGATTTAGAGTTTTCATGGTTAAATTTGACCATAAAACCTTCAAATATGTGCTTCACCGGCAATGGAAAAACAACAAGCTGAGGAAGAGAGAGAAAACGGAGGCGGCCACAACAAAAAGGACGATGATAGTGACTTCAAGCGATGATGGTGTCTCCATAGTATGTTGTGGTCGAATAGAGGGGAGATGAACAAAGAACAAAATTTCTGGTGATTGGTGGTGGTGGTGAGAATGAATATAGATGGAAGGGGTTTGATTTTGGTGGAAACAATTAAGTTAATCAATGTTAGGATTTAAGCTAATAAGTTAAAATAAGGAGTTTAATTAATTAAGGTGTTTAAAAAAAAGTAAGGGTAATTTGTAAAATCACATATAAAAATTTACTATAAAAGGAAAAAATAAGTTTGTTGCAAGTATTATATAACGACTATTTTAGTAATTGTTGCGAGTAATTCGTAACGGAGGGAGTATAAGATTTGTGTTACTGGAAATAACGATTTATTTTGTTAAAAAAAAAAAACAATAACGATTGAAATTGTTGGGTTAGTGTCGCTTAAATTTTATAAGCCTGACTAATTATCACTCAAGGCATGCAAAAAATTTCTAGATTATTCCCTCATATTGTGGAATTGATGGGGAATTGTGGAACAATAATCTAGAATTGGTGAATGATCTTGAAGATTCAAGATTTATGTGGCAATTTAAAGATCACACTTCTTCCACTTCCTTACGGCAATTATAAATAGTGATTATTCTCTTACTACTTATCTTGCATTTATCATTCTCCTAATTATTATGATACCACATATTAAATTACTGATTTCCTATATAGCTTCATGATACTACATATTAAATTAACTTATAGTTTTGCACTAATTATCCAAACTAGAATCGAACAAATTATAATTAATCACATTTCTAATTCAGACATATCTTTACTTAGTATTTAAAAAAGAAAACCAAAAAAGACATATGTCATCATTCTAATTACACTTTCCTATCTTCCTTTTCAACTCAATGTGCCACATGTCGTTTTACATTTTTTATTTTTAATTATACAATTTTTCTTAACTCTTTCATTAAACACTTCATCATCATCTCCCCTCTTTAATTCAACCTTTTTATTTTCTCTCTTTGATTTTAGTCCCTCCAACTTCTTTCTATTAAGTTTCATTTCAAATTATAGTCCCAAAATTTTTATTTCTTTAATTATGTTTTCATTTACATATTACACTCACAATTATTTATTGGTATTTCCTCACTCATCTCTCAATGCAATTTTCTATTAACAAACCGTGCATTGCACGGGTCAGAAGGCTAGTTATACTTACAAAACACAACCAAAATAAAAATTTTATAATGAATGAATAAATAAATAATTTGACAAAAATGAATAATTCAATATTAAACCTAGGTTTCATGCTTTAGAACATTAATAAGTTTCTTAAACAATGTCTTGCAAACCTTAAATCGGTGAATGCTTTCATTGTGAATGTCAAATCGTTTGATGTTAAATGGTTTGTTACATGAAAAAAAAAAATAAAAAAAATGCATTGTTTACACATTGATGGTGAGACCATCAGTGTTTGATGGTGAAAGTCGGTGTTTGATGATGAGATTGTGCTGTTGTTATTAAAGAGGAGGAAGTTGAGTCAAACGTGAGAGTAAAGTGAAGATTGACTTATAAGAAATACGTAGTATATGAATGTTTGGAATCAAGCAATTAAATCCAATTTCATTGATCATTGGCTTTCAATTTATAAACAGTTCATGAAATTTACTTTTATACTCTATTTATTAATATTCTAATCATTTCGATTATGTACGTCTTTGATATGTTGAAAAAATAGTTTATTTCTAAGAATCGGAGCTTGAAATATAATTGAAATTTATTCGAAAATTAAATTTACTTTTCGTGAATTTAGTAAGAATTATTAAGAGAAAAGTTCGAGGAAAAATTAATGAATTTTTGGGGAAATGTAGAGTGAAAAAAAAAAAAAGCAATTATACTTGAAATGCAATTGAATGAAGCAATTATAGAATATGGTGATTTTATTGGGTTCGTAATTAATTATGAGAATTTTGATTTCGAACATCTTTCCTAAATGCATTATATATTGTCTTACCAAACTTATATAACCATCCAGATCCCATGAATACCATATCTCCCTTGGATACGACCTACCTCGCATACAACTGCAGTTGGGTTATAAAACAATATGACAATGAGGGGAGTAGCCCCTTAACCTTTTATAAAGCAGAGGTTTTTCAGTGCGGCAAGCCACATGGTGCGGCACGCCACATGGTGCGACACGGTTACTTGTATATTAGGTTACTTGTATTCTGGGGTTACTTGTATTATGAGGTTACTTGTATGGGTTACTTGTATCGTAGAGTTACTTGTATTCTGAGTAACTCCATACCAAAATCTCATACCAAACCAGTAACACCCTACAAGTAACCCCTGATCAAAACCAATAACAGCCATATAAGTAACCCTAGAATACAAGTAACATCTGACAAAACCAGTAACACCCTACAAGTAACCCCGACCAAAACCAATAACACCCATACAAGTAACCCCAGAATACAAGTAACACCTACAAGTAACCCCTGACAAAACCAGTAACACCCTATAAGTAACCCCGACCAAAACTAGTAACACCCATACAAGTAACCCCAGAATATAAGTAACACCTACAAGTAACTCCTGACAAAACCAGTAACACCCTACAAGTAACCCTTGCCGCACCATGTGGCCAGCCACATACAAAAATTTGTATTTATAAAGTGGATCCAACTTTTTTTATTTCTTTATCGTGGGATATAATTTTCAACACTTTTATACCTTTTCAATGTTGGACAAAACTTTCATTCATATCTGGGTTTACTCATGAACTCAACAAAATATGTTACCTAATTTAAAATAAAAAAATTGCAAAGTAATTCTATGAGAATGGAAGATCGATAGATGTATGTAATGGTGCCAATTGACTACTCCGTACTCATTTGCACAATATATACTACGACTATATGAAAGTTGTGACAATGCCTACTAATATACACTATCCGTTATCAAAAGTTCGTTTTATTTCATTAATGGTTAGTGAATTCAATTTTTAGCTCCCCACTTTGCATTTAAGTGCTAAGTCTACCGGTCAACCACTTTGCCGCCAATGATCTATTTCTCATCTACGGTTTAGAAATATAAGTTTTTTGGTGGATTGACTTAGATCAAGCATTACAGGTTGTCGGGTGGCCCCATCGGTGCAAAGCGTGATCGCAGGCCTAGTGTGGATTTCAAGCACTCCAACTTGGCTCGAATAAAGTTTGCTCGCAAGTGTTTTGGCATATATAGTTTAGTTTGTTGGTCGATTTTGTTTTCAATAGTTCAATTCTTTATTAGTACTTATTGTACGAAAAAAAAAAGTTTCACTTCATACTTTTATATTATTTTTTGCAAAATCTTGTTATTATCTTCCTTCCTTTCCTTATCTTTTTTTTTTGAACGGGAAGAATAATATCATTAAATAAAAGCCGCCATATGACATCTACAATAATAAAAATCTGTAAACCACAGATTTAGAGAAAGTATCATAACTTTTACAATCAAAATCATAACTAATTTGCATATTTGGCACAACTCATACTCCACCGCTTCAAGCTTGACTCGAGCAATGATTTTCGATGTCTTTGCATCTTTTCAAGTTAAGACCTCTACAATCTGCGCTGATGTTTTGATCGACAGGTTATTATCTTGTTATTATCTTCCGTCCTCTCCTATCTTACTCACTAAATTTTCATTTTTTCTGTCCACCCTTTCTTATGCTATCCACTTTTTCTCTGTTTTGAGAGACTAATTATAGATAATTCATGCACAATTTTCCCACGGAAATTATTCAAAGACAAATTTCCATAGTCCCAACTCCCAAGTGAGCCAAGTCAACAATGTGCTAAACTGCTAATGTGCCAAATCTTTGACGACTCGATACAATTTAATAAATTATCATCATTTACCCCAAAACTTACGCAAACAAGAACAAATTGGCCGCCTCTAATCTCTATATAAACACCCCTCATCATCTCATCATTTCCCACATAATTTAATACACCATTACAATTTCATTTCATCATGACCACTTTATCTGCTTCCCTCGTTACATTATTTTTACTATCCATCATCACAATCTCCCATGCAACCACCATCACCGTAGTCAACAACTGTGACTACACCGTGTGGGCTGCCGCCGATCCAGGAGGTGGTAAGCGACTCGATAAAGGAAACACCTGGAACGTAAACCCAGCACCCGGGACCAAAATGGCACGTATTTGGGGCCGAACTGGGTGCAACTTTGATGGCAATGGCAACGGCAATTGCCAGACCGGAGGGTGTGGTAAACTAGTGTGTAACCCGGGCAATTGGGGTACAATCCCAAAGACTCTATTCGAGTATGCTCTAGCACAACCCAATAATCCAACCGACACCATTGATATCTCCCTTATTGAAGGCTTCAATATCCCTATCTCCTTCAGCCCCACTTCCAACTCCGGTTCACTCAGTGGGAAGTGTCGTACACTTAGGTGCACGGCTGATATTAACGGGCAGTGCCCGCGAAACTGGAAGGTTCCTGGTGGGTGTCACAACCCTTGCACGACCCAAGGTATCGGAACGTGTGGTGCTAATGGTGACTCTAAGTTCTACAAGCAAAGGTGCCCTGATGCTTATAGTTTCCCTAAGGATGATCAAAGTAGCACTTTTGCTTGTCCATCTGGTACTAATTACAGGCTCACTTTCTGTCCTTGAACATTCCATCAACTATGGTCTGTCTTATAAAATGCAAGATTTTCGCTTTTAATATTACTTGTGTTATATTAAAGTTATAGGTTGATGGAAATTCAACTACATGTGCAATAAGCTAGAGCTATTTGCAAGTTGCTCTTCTATGTTCAGCTCTAGCATTCTGTAATTTTAGCTGGAAATAATCAATGGTCATAGTAATACGAAGAAATAATAATGCAATGTTGTGTTGTTTGTTTATCCTTGTTCGTCTATTCTATACTTTGTCTATTGAGTTTTAAGTGCGACAATATGTTGTTTATGGCCACTATTTCTTTATTAATAAAAATATTTAAGGTTGTTGGATTGTTCAACATATATATAATCTTTATCTATTTAATTTAATAATATATAGTTACAGTTTTTGATGGTTTTTATGCTATATCAAGTAAGAAAGATTGTTATACAAAGTTAGTTTTTTTAAAAAGGAGGATGTATGTCATGGTGGTTGACTAATTCGTACTTGTTTAGTCATTTTCACAATAAAAACTATATTTTCTTCGTAATGTTAGTGTTAGTGTGAAATATTTTATACTACTGCCAAATAATAATATGAAACGAAAGCAGTACATCGATGATTGAAGTAATAAGATAGGCTTGATGAGATGACAAGAATCCACATTGATCCATACAACTATATAGGAGATTGTTCACTTGTTCAGTTGTTCTGATCACTTGCTATAAATTGATGGATAATAAATGTCACATGCATGGCAAGATAAGCTTTACATTGAATTTGTCAAATAAAATACACAACTTTATTTACAAGGAAAAATAGACATACAAGAGAAATATAAGTGTGCATTATTTAAGGGAAACAAGATATTATTGATTGAATTGACACACTCCCTAATTCATAGAGGATACATATATATATATATATATATATATATATATATATATATATATAAGTATCTACAGTTATTATTATTTTTTTAATCTACAGCTAATTTTTTTTTTTAAAAAGAAAAAATTATGTCAAATAACTAAACAATTTACTCTAGTTAAATTTTGATAGGTTTGTATTAGAAGTATAACCATTAATTATTTTCATTTCCATACCAAAAAGTTATTAAAATTAAACAAAAAAAAAAAAAAAAACCTCCATATAATGAAACAAATATAACAAGATATCATGTACTGTAGTATGTAAGACATTTCACACAAAGAACATTTAACGCATAAATTTTAGTTATTGATATCATTTAATCTCAAAAAAAAAAAAAAAAAAAAAAAAGAAAAAAAAAAAAAAAGGTTATGGTGGCTACTGCACAGGCAGCACAGCATGCCCATCTAGCACTTAAGTTCATCCTAAGCCAATAATGTTATGATAGTATGATGTACTCGGTTGTGGCCAGCATATAAATTAAACAACTAACGTTTATAGGTTATTTAATTGATGCATGTTCAATTGTTCATACTTCATAGTACTTAATTTAGTCCCCCGCAACAACAAATGGGAGGGTACTAGAACCTACCTACCCACAACAGATCCTCAAATCTGGATTAGCCTAAAGAGTGAATCGGATGAAAAAAAAAATAGTTATGTAATTATTTGGATCGTTCATTTATATAATTTAATACTTCAAAATAATGGCTAAATAAATTTTTTTTAGAAAATCATTAGTGATGATTAGTTGGTTATTGTGAAAATCAGAACGGTTAATGCATTGTGAATAAAACTACTTATTAATTAGGATAACATTCCATTATTTATTCATGATAGTACAAGTGTACAACACTTTTAGCTTGAATCAAGGACAAAATGTAACCTTGTAATTGGTACCAGAAGGGCAAGTATAAGTGCTAGTAGCATCGTCCTTAGGATAACTGTAAGCATCTGGACACTTACCCTTAAAATACCTAGATAAATCTGTTGCAGGGCAGTTATCTTTGAAATTATTTAAACAACAATATTTATCATCTTTGAGGGCGGTGCACGGGTTGTTACACCCACCTGCGGCCTTAAGTTGAGCCGGGCATGGGCCGATAAGGTCACCCCTGCAAGTAGGTCCTTTGCTACAACCATTTACGGGCAAGAAACTCATGGGTACATTAAACCCATCAACCAAGGAAATGTCAAAGAAATCCAAGTTGTTAAATTGTTTTAAGCCATATTCGGCTAAGGTGTTAGGGGGTGTACCATAAGCTGTGCATTGGAGTACCCCACCACAGTCTCCTGTGATACACTTGAGCCCGTTGGCTCCATTAGGTGTGCATCCAGTACGGGGCCAAATTCGTCCACCGGTTTGGCCAGGGTTGGCGGTGACAATCCACGTGTCACCGGTATTCATACGTTTGCCACCACCGGGTACTGCGCCGGCCCAAATAGTGTAAGGGCAATTGTTCTGTACTGTAAAGGTGGCTGCATGGGTGGATGTGGAGATAAGGGTAACAAGGACTACGAAGAGGCAGAAAATGGAGAGTGATTTCGAGGGGATCATGATGGAAAGATTGAAAAGAAATGTCTTTGGATTTTTTATTTGTTGATTGTGTGTATTTGGTTGAGATTGATTTAGTTTGAGGTTGTTTTAGTTTATATAGGAAAAGAAGGGAAGATAAGTCACAACTGATCGTAATATCCAAGGAAAATTGTGGAGGCCTGTGTAGATTACTTTTTTTTTTCTGAGTTTGTCTCATCCCGTTCACCAGAATATAGCCCCGAGTATATCCGGATCTGACCCGAATTGCACACTTTAGCTTACAGTGGGTGAGTCTTCCACCAAGAGTTTTCTGCATCTGGTGAGACTCGAACTTGAGACCTCCATCAAGTTGCTTACTACTTGAGCCAACTTTTGTTGGTGAGGTCTATGTGTAGATATACTCATAAACTTCCTCTTCTTTTTTAATTACTTGACCTGTTTCTTTTATTATCTTTGTCAATGCAAAACTTTAGCAATCAATAAGTTTAATTATCTATAGGTAAAAAATTATAAAAGTTGGGTATATTATGATTGTACTTATTGAGACGAAATCAAAAAGATCCCACGTGAATATATTTTACCTTATATATCATTCACACAAGATGGTCAAAGGAGGAGTGGTGAATAGTGTAAAAGTCAAATCGGATCAAATAAAAAAGAATGGAAAAAGTACATAATAGGTGCAGTGCGTATTATTTATTTATTTTTTATTTAATTTTTTTTGTTTTTGTGAAAGATCGATTTAGCATGAAGTCAAGGTCAAATTAAAGGTTGTTTTAGCAACATACTGTACAATTGTGTGATGGACAGTTTGAAGCTAATTATGGGCATACCGACTTGATGCGCTCACCAGTATTGACTAGACTTTAGCGATGGATCGTTTATACTACGTTATATTCAATTATTAATGCTACCATTATCATATTATAGTCATCATTTCTGGTAGCTTGCACTACTACTCATAACTTCGTAAGTTGTGACTAGGGTGTTCTAAAGTCATCCTAGATAGATACTATATGTTAATTTAAGCTACAGATCAGACTTAAGGCAATTCAATTACATTATGACAAGCTAGACCTAGTTCTTAAGAAAAAAAATTATAGAATGAAAGTGATGTGTTCTTCATTATTTTAACGATTTGATATTATTTACGCTATTATACTTTAATTTGACTCACAAATTCATATTTTCCTACTGTAATACGAGTACTTTGTTAAGCTATTTATAATATATGATGATTTGCTAACTAGATATTTGTGAGTTTGTTACAAGCCCAGATATCAAGATAGTTTATTGGAAGTTTCTTTGTGTAATACGGAGTTTTAATTTCTCTCTCTAATCGTTTCTCTCTTAATCTTGATTGAGCATACTCATTTGTTATCTAAAATTGTTGGATTATTAGCCTGGATTAGTAAAAGTATAAGGTTGTTGGAAGAAAAAAAAAACAATAGAAGGGAGTGTAATGCTGTTGGATTGGTCGAAATTGATCTACTTCCCGTATAATTAACTTATATTTTCAAAATATTAATGTTATATTATTTTTAATAATGTATACTCCATAGTTAAAGATATCAACAGTTATGCTTTTTATTCAATGTGAAAGAATGTAAGAACTAAGAAGTACATACACATATGTATGAAAGTATGACGATTGAAGTAAAAAGCGGGTCAGATGAGATGACAAGAATAATTATGGATACAACTATTCAACAAATTGTTCATTTGTTGATGTTTACCTATAAGGCTATAACATAAGAGTAAGTCGTGTATGTGGCTATCACACAGTATATCCATATTAATTTATAAGAATAATTCTTATTTATATATATGAATAATCCTATTTATTTATAGGGTTAACCTCATTTTATCCATCAAAGTAACTCCAATTCATTATACAAGTAATATCAACTAATTTAGAAATAAGTAACTCCATTTTTTCATTAGAGTAACTCTTATTTTTTTTTGTTTTAAAATTGAAAGAAAAATTCCACTCATGTAAGAAATTTTCCCCTTTTTTCATTTAAGTAATTCACATACCTCAAGGTACTCATTTGCTCATCACCATAACTCTCTATTACTTAATAATTAACTTATTGCGAAGTGGTCACACCATATGACTAGCCACATATAAAAATTTGTTAAAATGTAAATTGATTGATATGAAGTTTCAAATGTGACAAGGCAAGATAAGCTTTATTTACATTGAAAATTAGACGACATTCCAAGAGAAAATAATTAAAAATGGATTAGGGAAAACAAGACATTGTTTACACCATTTTGTTGGTTAATTATTTGACTCAACCCCTGATCAAAAATTGATATTTTATATTTTTTTATTGAAGTATCGCTTGTATTGCTAACATAAATGTGGGTTAATATAATTTTATGTCAAAGTAATTAAAAAAATACTCTATTTGAAATTTATAACGAACCTTCCTAACCTATGTGAACCATTATTGAAATTTATAAATATACAATTAAATGAATTTAACAAGATGTCACGATCCTAAATTAAAAAATGGAATTAGCAGTTGATATATATCCATTAAATTCAATCAATTTATTTTAATCACCACTAGTTTCAATAAAAATTTCAGTATATATCTAAAATTTTGAGGTGAAGAAAGAAACACGCTCAGTAGCTCACTACAAAATAAATACGTAGTATTGAAGTATTCAACATTTGGTGGAGTATAAAAGAGAAATTCTGAGCCTATAATAGCTTAATCATTAATGGAATAATAATGTTGATGATAAGTTGTATCTATAGAGTTAATATTAATATTAATACCAACAAAAATAAAATTCTTATTTTTGCATTTATTGGTACTAATGAATTAGTATTTTGGTATATTTATCATAAATCATCTAAGCATAAATTAATGGCTTAATGCCAATGGACATTACTAATTTACTGTATTATAACTATTGATAACTTAAGTAAAAAATGCTCCGAATCAAATGCTGGAAGCCTGGAACTTATGGGGACTTATTAAAGTAGATGCACAGATTATTGGAAGTCAAGTACTAGTATAAGTATAACTGTATATTGTGTAAGGCATAATTTGGGGCTTTTGTGCCTTAATGTATTTAACTTGGGTCGGGCTTTACTGAGCTTTAGGTTGATTCAAATATGTTTATAGGTTGTAAACGACTCGTGTTAAACGAGTCACGGGTTATAGATATATGGTGTGTGTATAATGAATGGGTCACGGATTTTTGACAAATCGGTTCAAACTTATTTTTCCTCAATTTAAGTAATTCAAGGTCGGATTCAGTTTATTTCGTTTTAGCATTGAGTTGTCAAGCTAAGGCCAGCTCAGCATTGGGTACAAGTCACATTGCATACAGTCCAATAAAAATTCAGGTCGATTCAATTTCAAATTTCCAATTGGTGATTTCTGACCGGTTTAATTTCCCATGAATTGGGTCAATAACAAACAATTTCATATATAGTTTACGTCGAAAACTCGATAATGCTAGTTTCACCTAATGACCTTGAAGCAACTTAGAGAATTTGTTTCTTACCACTGGAGGGTGGGGAGTTCTTTATACAATTGATATACATGAGCTATACTTTAGAGACACATTATTGAATACAAGATTAATACAATAGGATAGCATTCCATTTATTCATTTAATATATAGTACAACAACATACTGTATATACTATATAGATAAACTATATAAGAAGTACAAAAGCCCTTATATTATACATCAAGGACAAAATGTAACTACATAGTTGGTACCATGAGGGCAAACAAAGGTGCTAGTTTGATCATCCTTAGCATAACTATAAGCTTGAGGGCACAAATTCTTAAAAATCATGGAGTAGTTATTTGGAGGACAATTTGTTTCATATTGGTTCCTACAACAATATTCATCAGTATTGTACTTATTGCAAGCGCTTAAACACCCGCCGTCAACCTTAAGGTCGGAAGGACACGAATCGAGAACATTAGCTGCGCAAGAGGGGGTATTAGGGGTGGGACTTCGGTTTGGCGGTTCGGTTTGACCTCGGTGTGAGTAGGTTTCGATTTGGAGCGGTTCGGGTTGAAACAGTTTGATTTAGCTGACGGGTCGGTTCGGTTTCGGTTTATTTCTTTACGGTTTAAATTCGGTTTGGGTCATAAGCGGGTCGGTTTATAAACAATTCGGATCATGCCGGTTCAGTTTGAAACGGGTCGGTTTAGGGGGCGGGTTTACCCAGGTTGATGTCGGTTTGGTTTACAAACAGTTTGGATCATGCCGGTTTGGTTTGAAACGGGTCGGTTTAGGGGCGGGTTTACCCGGGTCACTGTTGGTTCGGTTTATAAACGGTACGGATCATATCGGTTCGGTTTGAAATGGGCCGGTTTAGGGGCGGGTTTACCCAGTCCAATGTCGGTTCGGTTTATAAACGGTTCGGATCATGCTGGTTCGGTTTATAAGCGGTTTGGGTCATGAAGTCATGGATCATGATTGTTTTAAAGATCGCGTCATGACCATGATTTAATGAGTTGATACTTAGAATACAATAAATCGATAATTAAGGAAGTACAAGTACTCAATTAGATCGATTAACAAATGTTTTAAACTTTTAAGTTTTAACATATATGTTTATCGATTATACGTACATAGTTACATAGTTTCATACTTAATTACTTACATACCAATGATTCAATGAGGCAATGAGCCAATGATAGTATGATACCAATCGTACATTCGTACTTGCTGGCAGCATTTCTCAAGTTTTGTGTTAAAACAACCATTGCTCAGTGATGTAAATCTGAGAGCAATTTTAAAAAACAAAAATTAGTTTTGAAGTTGCTTGAACTTGTTTTGAGCTGCTGGTAGTGCTTTTGCCTTTTGGTTGTTGTCCCTACTGAGTTGTTTTTGCCTATATTGTTGCCTGCCTGAGCTGGTTCCTGCCTCCTGCCAGCTTGAGGTGCTGTGTTGCTGCTTCAGTATTGTTGCTGCCTTTTGTGTTATGAATTTATGATAAGTTTTGTTGTTGCTGTTTCTTATGCTTGCTGTTTTAATTTTTCTTGAATCACCGTTGCCCTTGTCATTTATGTTGAGACTTCAATGTATACGTACTTGCTGGCAGCATTTTTCAAGTTTTAAGTTAAAACAGCCATTGCTCAGTGATGATACGATAAACGTAAATCTGAGAGCAATTTTGAAAAACAAAAATTAGTTCCTGCTGAGTCCCTTCTGCTTATATTGTTCCTTGCTTTTGATAAGTTGCTGATCTGTTATTGCGTGAGCTGGTTCCTGCTTGTTGTTGCTATTTCCTCTGTGTTGTGCTGCTGCTTCAAGATTCTGCTGCCTTTTGTTTTTAGGAATGTTTTTTTAGGTTAAATTTTGTTATTAGGATAATTTATGATCATATGTAAAATGTAAATCCTTAACTTATTTATTTTTAATGTAAAATGTAGATGAAATGTATTTTTTTGGAATAATTAAAGTTATTTAATTTTAATTTATATTTATTGTTACCTTTGTTAAATTAAAGTATATATAATATATATTATAATACTAGTATGTTACATTTCACATTTGATATTAATTAAAATTATAAGTAATCTAAAACGACAATATTCACATTAATAATGTCGTTGGATTAGGTGATATAAACCGTTGTATAAACCTAAGTCGTTTAATTAGATCTACATTTAGTAATGTTTATTGTATATATTTTAAAATTTATATTTATTGTTACCTTTGTTAAATTAAAGTATATATATAAATATATAATAAATTAATAATACTAGTATGTTACATTTGATATTAATTAAAATAAATAAGTAATCTAAAACGACATTAATAATGCCATTTGACTAGGTCTAGGTGATATAAACCTTTGTATAAAACTAAGCCGTTTGATTAGATCTACATTTATTAACATTAATTGTATTTAGCCATTTAGGTTGTAAATAATTCAATTTGAATTAAGCAGTTTGTAATCGGATCAGTTTAAACAGGTTGCGATTCGAAAACAGTTCGATTTTAACGGTTTAACGGGTTATAGCAGTTCAGTTTAGACGGTTAGCAGATTATAACGGTTCGGTTTATACAGTTTTTCCTGCGATTTAAACGGTTTCGGTTCATAAACGGGTCGGTATAAACGGTTAGCGGGTTACAAATGGTTCGGTTTAAACGGTTTTTTTTTACGGTTTAAACGGTTTCGGTTTATAAATGGTTCGGGTCATTAACGGGTTTATAAACCATTCGGTTCGGTTTCGTTTCGGTTCGGATTTGAGCAGTTTGGTTTGTTATCGGTTTACGGTCCGTAACGGGTTGACATTGAGCGGTTCGATTCGGTTTTGGTTTGATATTGAACGGTTCAGTTCGGTTTTCAGTTTAAATTTATCGGTTTATAAACGGATCGGTCCGTGATGGTTCAGTTCGATAACGGGCGGTTTCACGGTTCGGTTTGAAAAGTCCCAACCCTAGGGGGTATTGTCGCATCCACTAGCCGCCTTAAAACTCATGGGTACATTAAACCCATCAACCAAAGATATATCTATGGTGTCTTGTGTATTTGTTAAAGTATACTCTGCTATGGTAAGTGGGGGTGCCCCAGAGTTTGTACCGCAGTCGAATAGCCCACCACCACAGTCTCCTGTGGTGCACTTAAGGCTGTTGGACCCACCGGAGGTGCATCCGGTGCGACCCCAAACACGACCAGCGGACGTGCTGGGATCGACATCGAAATTCCATGTGTCACCGGAGGGCATTTCTTCTGCACCACCGGGTAGTGCAGCGCCCCACACGGTGTAGCTACATTGGTTTTTAACTGTAAAGGTGGTTGCGCGGGTAGGTGTGGAGATTGCGGAAGCTAGGATGATTACGAGGCAAGAAATGAGGAGGGGTCTTACGGAGGGGCTCATCTTGGAAGACTTGTTTATTGAATAAATAGAAGTTTGTATTTTTTATTTGTTGATGGTGTGTTTAAGATAGTTGAAATAATTTGGTTTATATAGGAAAAGAGGGGAAGAAAAGTCATAAAAGATTGGGTAAAAGTCACAAATTTGTTCGTATTTTTTCTAAATACATAGTGTATGAAAAATTGAAAATGCGATCAAAGTTTAAATGTTATGCGTACATGTTACGTTTAAGAGTTTGCATGGGACCTCCAAAATCGAAGCCAAAGCCAAACAAGAAACTAGTGTGGGTGCGGCGACTTGCCCACATAATCGAATGATCAGTGCCCTTGAATGAAGGACTCCGAGACAATTCCTCACTTCTTGTAATTATTCTAAACGATAGCGGAACGAAGATCAATTGTCATTTCTTCCTATGAAATTATTTTCAAAATTAAGTATGTGTAACTAGATTTTTGCACAAATGTAAAATTATATATACACTTAATTTATGGATGATTGATATTATCATTAATTTTTAATAGGATCTTGCTAAGTATTTAAAATAGTTACAAAAAGTGATATAAATTCGGGAAAGCATGACAACATTATGCATCAATCGGTGTAATTAATGTTCATTTTAATTTAATATTTCTATTTTTAGCTAGCTTATCCAATACCCGTAGAGCGTTCGTTAGCTTTTGTCTTTTTAATTTGATATACTTGTTTGATTTTATAATACTTGTAATTGAGAATGACATAGACGTGGATGAATTTATAGTGGGGCATGGGTGGCTTGAGTCCCACCAAAATTTGGTTTTATCAAAGAAAAAAACTAACGAGCATTGTCAAGATGGGGCGTTAGTTAAGAGAATTAAAAGTGAAAATTTTATAATAAAATAAACACTAAATAGAATAAATAACACGTGATTTTGGCATGCATTTTACACTTAATACTACAGAGTATTATTTAAGTTAAAAGAAAAACTTACTACGACTACGAGTCCTATTTTAGATTATATGTTAATTAATTATTTTATTGAGATGAATCAAACAATACTTTACATGATTTTTAATTTTTTTTTTTTTTTTTTTTTTAACTTCTATGCTGAGAAAAATTTAAACGATTCCCTTAAATTGTAAATAGTGATTAAAAAAAATAGGGATAGTAATGGCTTAACAAATAACACTTCGTAACAAAGTACATTTAGTTTGTTATTATTAGTTTGTATATTACACATATGAGGCTTACATGAATTGCCAATAAATATCGTGACCTGATAGTAAATTCTTGATCAACAATCGATTTACACATTAGAAAGGAAAAAAAAATGCAAATTAGAGTCAACTTGATACGTTACTAAATTTTTTTATGTGGCTAGCCACACAGTGACAGTACACTGTGTGGCTAGAGATACTCGAGTTACTCGATTATGGGTTACTTAAGAGGTTCGATCATGGGTTATTTAAGAGGTTCGATCAGGGGTTACTTGAGGGGCTCGATTAGGGTTACCCGAGGGATTCGATCAGGGGTTCTTGAATGAGATCGATACTCAATCAGGGTTATTGAAGGGGTTACTCGGAAGGGTTACTAGATTAGCGGTTACTTGGGGGGTTAAATTACTCAGTCAAGAGTAACTCAAGTAACCCCTTATCGAGAAACCCTTGTCATACGGTATGGTCAGCCACACAGAAAAATCACCCTTTACATACTTAAAACTCTTCAATAAGGGGAAGGGTAACTAAAACATGTTTAATTGCTAATTTGCTACTCCACCTTCATAGGCAATTAATTTTAAGATGAACCTTGTTAGATGTTATGGACGAATAAAGTGACTGAAAATTTGAAGCTGAGTGATCCATTAGCACCCAAATATGTATCAGCCCAGTAGTCTCTAGTGTTGCACTTGAGTCCATTAGGCCCGGTGGTTATACATCCCATTTTGGTGCTAGTTGTTACTCGTACATTTATATACATACATCCATCCGGATGTAAGGTGTATCTAAGTGTATTTTACTCATTTGATATATTTTATTTGCTCATTTTAAAATCTAAAAGAGTAAAAATTCACCTTTAATTTGGGTGCACATAACCACATATGTCTATGTTGGAACTCCAACATATCTCACTTGTAAGTGTCCTATATTGGAGAATTAGGAGAGGTGGTATAAGGTAAAGGAGTAACTCTTACTATTATTGTCAATTGGTTTTAGTATGGAAGCTCCTAAGCCTAGTTTGTGGACCAAACTCTCCACCTTCTTATTCGGGTTATCCATGCCCATTTCATATTATATTTAACATGGTATTAGAGCCCAGGTTTGTTGGGTCATTCATAACTGGGTATTTGTCAAGGGGCCTTTATTGGATGTTCATTCCCAAAGTGAATTTATATTGTATCTTTCGGCGTGATCTAATTCTAAAGACACTCACAAGTGAGGAGGAGTGTTGGAACCCCAATGTATTGCCCAGGCCCATTTCATATCATCTCGAAATTTAACAGTCTATATGCACCCATGTGTATATAAAATGTTCTCCCATTTTGGGACAAATACGACCAATAAGTTTGCTCCAATCTATGTCGGTTGTCTAGATGTTGGCAAAATTCATCTCAATGGCCAAAGTTTTTTTGGATTTATATCTTTAATAACAAACTTAATTTTAATTCTCAACTAGTGAGCATCATGTAATAATTCGTCCCGAACCAATAGCAACATGTTTAAATGAAAAACAAAAACTTAGTTAAATTCGTTCTTAATATACAAGAGCTTCACTTTAGAGACACATTATCGAAACCAAGGTTAATACAATAGGAAAACATTCCACTTATTCATTCATTTAATATAGATATAGTACAACATATATACTAGATAAACTATATAAGGAGTACATACCCCCTTAAATTAATTATAATACTTCAAGGACAAAATGTAACTACATAGTTGGCACCATGAGGGCAAGACAAGGTGTTTATATCATCCTTAGCATAACTATAAGCTTGAGGGCACAAATTCTTAAAAATCATGGAGTAGTTATTTGGGGGACAATTATTTTCATATTGGTTCCTACAACAATATTCATCAGTATTGTACTTATTGCAAGCGCTTAAACACCCACCATCAACCTTAAGGTCGGAAGGACACTCGTCGTTGACATTTGCAGCGCAAGAGGGGATTTTGTCGCATCCACTAGCAGCCTTAAAATTCATGGGTACATTAAAACCATCAACCAAGGACACATCAATGCTATCCTGTGTGTTTGTTAAAGTATACTCAGCTATGGTAAATGGGGGTTTCCCCGAGTTTGTACCACAGTCGAATAGCCCATCACCACAATCTCCTGTGGTGCACTTAAGGCTGTTGGACCCACTGGACGTGCATCCGGTACGACCCCAAACACGGCCACCAGCTGTGTTGGGATTGACATCGAAAGTCCATGAGCCACCGTTGGAGGGCAATTCCTTTGCACCACCGGGTGTAGCAGCACCCCACACGGTGTAGCCACAGTTGTTTACAACTGTAAATGTGGTTGCGTGGATGGGTGCTGAAATTCCGACGATTAGGACGCAGGAAATGAGGAGGGATTTTAAGGAAGAAGTGATCATCTTGGAAGGCTTGCTTATGAATGAAGTTTGGATTTTTGATTTTTTGAGTGTGTTTTAAGATTGAGATGATTGGGTTTATATAGAAAAGGCGGGAAGAAAAGTAATAAGAGATTGTACTGTGTAAAGGTCACAAATTTGATCTTATTTTTTTCCAAATACATTAGTGTATGAAAAATGGAAAATGCGATCAAAGTTTAATTTGAGTTTTTCTTCTTTATGGACTCTATCTAGATATTTCAAATGGTTTATTACTATTTTTTTAAAGAAAATATTAAAAATAGCAGATGCGTTTTGTGTTTGGGTTACCACACCATGTGTCCACTTATTAAAAAACACAGTAACTCCTCTAACACTGACCCGGTAACCCTTGTAACATTGACCAAGTAACTCCTAAGTAACCTTGATAACACTGACAAAGTAACCCCTAAAAAATTGAATGAGTAACCCCTATAACACTAATGAAGTAGCCCTTATAATGAATAATCACACCATATGGCCAGCTACATATAAGACTTTGTGTGGAAATAATAATCATATCCCAACTTTGCTGGATTTTCTTTTAATAATTCCAAATTTGAATTATTTTGGAATAATATGAACTTTATGGGATGTTTACTTTCTTCAATCCCAAACCGGTCATCAATGACCTATTATATCAAGTCACTTGATTTGTGTCAAGCCCTGATTGGTCCAAAAAAATTAAATAAATCTATAACTATAACTAAAGAAAAAACCGCTTACATCAGCTGTGTACACATGTCATTTTATCATTAAAAAATTTTCCTCCAATTTGCTTATGACATCATCATTTTTTTTTCCTATTTTCGTCTTTCGAAATTCAAGATCGAAAGAACTAATTCTTAAAAATAAATAAAAGAGTAGACATCAATTAATCAAAAACATATTAATGACTTTTCTCTTTTCAAAAACCCTCATTTTGTGGTTGATTATTTTACACTCTCTTATTGATTTTTTTTTTAATTCTAATTAAATCGTGCATCGCACGAGTACTAATCTAGTAAAAATTATTAAACAAAACAAAACAAAAACAAAAACACTAGCTCCTTCCCTTTCCCCCACCCCCGCTGCCAGCCCGACACCCTTCTCTCGCCGGCTCACCGCCTCTCCCCCACCCTTAGCGTTGTCGGTTTGGCTTCTCTTCCCGAAACCCCCTCTCATTCCCGCGCACAACCACCAAGAAAACCCCTCTTCCACTCTCAAAAACCCTAAACCGCCACCCTAACCAACTCGTAATCGCAACAATGACAACACGCCACCGCCAGCCAACTCGCAACTGCAAAAAATCGCCACCAGTTGCTCCTAGGTGGGGGTTAGAATGGTTTCCCTTTTTGTTTAGGTGGTTTCGAGGTATAGGAGGGGGGCTGCAATTCCGAAGGATGGGAAGAGGCTGTGGTTTATCGGCGTGGAGGAGAGGTGGTGGGGGAATGGAGGGGTATTGTTGGCCGGCTATCAATCGTCCAGCGTCGGGCATCAATGATAGGATGGCCGGCGTCAGGCGTCAGGGATAGGGTAGCCGGCGTCGGGAGAAAGGGTTGGGGTTTGGTCGTTGGTATGAGAACCGTGAGAGGAGGGTGGGTTTTTTTTAATTTTTTTTTAATTACTTTTTTAATCAATTTTTGTTTTCTTTTTAATTTTTTTAACCAATTATGTTGCGATAAGTGTCATATAAAGAAAAATAAAAAAATACTCGTTCAACAGGTAACCGATATTTGGGATTGAAGAAAATCAACAACCCCAAAGTTTGGACTATTCTAGAATAATCCAAAGTTGGGATTATTGATACAAAATATGTGAAAGTTAGGATTATTATTTCTAATTTTTCCTTTTTTTAAAATGTATATGGTGTAAAAGTCTAGGGTTTTTTTTTTTCCACTGCATTTGGAAAAATGGTGTATAGTTTGAATTTTAACAATTGAAAACAAACCTTGTAATGTTGATACTATTTATTTTTGTAGTAAATACTTTTTTAAAAAAATAATTAATTAGTCATTCCATTATATATGATCAACAATTCGAATGTAATGACCAGTGAATGATTTTTTTTGTCACTATAAACCAAAGAGTAATACAAACCTATCTTGGCTATCTAGCTATAAAATCAACTAGATTACATTATTATAGTTATAAAAAATACTTGCTCTTTTAAGTGATTCCACAACCAACATTGTATTTTGTATGTAAATAAATATCCCAATTAAGTGAAGTTCAAAGACGATCCATGACCTATACGGGGCGGGTAGCTGCATAAGTCCTTTAAAAATGGCTTAAAATTTAATCTAATTATATTCATTACATGCAAATCAAGAAAATTAAGTTGGTCTCATGTAGTAAGATCTTCCATGTAAAGGACTCAATATTATATCACGAATGTCTCAAGTTTGAATCTTCTCATAGCTAATGCGTACATTTTACGTTTAAGAGTTTGCATAGGACCTCTAAAACCAAAGCCAATCCAAACAACAGGACTTTAGGACTCACAGGAAAACAAGAAACTTGTGTTTGGGCGCGGTGTGATTTATCCACGTAATCGAATGATCAGTGCCCTTGAATGAAGGACTCTTAGACTATTCCTCACTTCTTCTTGTAATTATTGTTAACGAAAGCGGAACGAAGATCAATTGTCATTTTCTCCTATGAAATTGTTTTTAAATTTACATATTTAAAAAGTATTTGCGGCTAGATTTTTGCACAAGTGTATACACTTAAGGATGATTGATATTAGGAAAAATTGTTAAAATTATCCCAACTTTCTCTTATTCGCTTTGAATAATCCCAACTTTGAATTATTATTAAACAATCTCAACTTTGGGGTGTATTCGCTCAAAACAATCCCTAACCGATTACTTACCTGTTATAAATGGTTAAGGTGATGTCACCATGCAATTGGTTGATAAATTTAAAATATTAATAAAAAAAACTTAAAAATTGAAATAAAAATAATAATAACCCAGCCACCACCCACGAACCACGTTCGCCATAAAAGCTACGACGACTGAAACCCCCTTCCCCACTCACGCGACGGCGAGAACCCTCTTCCCCGGTAGCTCCCTTTCCCCCAAATCCACCAATCCCGTAGCCCAAAACCCCTGAAATCCTACCCACGACCACCCAAAATCTAGCACTAGGGTTTTAATGGTGGTGGAGGGACGGCTGAGGTTTTATGTGGTGGGGATGGTAGTTCAAGGATTTCAGGCGAGGGTTGCATGAGGAATTGGTGTTTGAGGGAAAGGGGCGCCGGTTAGGGCAATGCCGGCGTGGCAGCGTGGGGTAGGGGGTCTGGCCACAGCAAGCTAAGGCCACGGACTTGGGCTAGGCCGGGTGGAAGGTTCGACGCTAGTTGTTGCATGGTTGTCGTGGGTTAAGGGCTTGGGGTTGGGTTCTTTGTTTTTAGTTTTTGTTTAATTTTTTAAATATATTTTCAATCAATAACGCGATGACACGTGTTAATTAATTTTTTTTTAAAAAAATACTTGTTTAACAGCTTAGCGGTCACATGAGATTGTTTTGAGTGAATGACCCCAAAGTTGGGATTATTTAAAAAAATTTCCCTCCAATTTGCTTATGACATCATCATTTTTTTTTCCTATTTTCGTCTTTCGAAATTCAAGATCGAAAAAACTAATTCTTAAAAATAAATAAAAGAGTGGACATCAATTAATCAAAAACATATTAATGACTTTTCTCTTTTCAAAAACCCTCATTTTGTGGTTGATTATTTTACACTCTCTTATTGATTTTTTTTTAATTCTAATTAAATCGTGCATCGCACGAGTACTAATCTAGTAAAAATTATTAAACAAAACAAAACAAAAACAAAAACACTAGCTCCTTCCCTTTCCCCCACCCCCGCTGCCAGCCCGACACCCTTCTCTCGCCGGCTCACCGCCTCTCCCCCACCCTTAGCGCTGTCGGTTTGGCTTCTCTTCCCGAAACCCCCTCTCATTCCCGCGCACAACCGCCAAGAAAACCCCTCTTCCACTCTCAAAAACCCTAAACCGCCACCCTAACCAACTCGTAATCGCAACAAAGACAACACGCCACCGCCAGCCAACTCGCAACTGCAAAAAATCGCCACCAGTTGCTCCTAGGTGGGGGTTAGAATGGTTTCCCTTTTTGTTTAGGTGGTTTCGAGGTATAGGAGGGGGGCTGCAATTTCGAAGGATGGGAAGAGGTTGTGGTTTATCGGCGTGGAGGAGAGGTGGTGGGGGAATGGAGGGGTATTGTTGGCCGGCTATCATTCGTCCAGCGTCGGGCATCAATGATAGGATGGACGGCGTCAGGCGTTAGGGTAGCCGGCGTCGGGAGTTAGGGTTGGGGTTTGGTCGTTGGTATGAGAACCGTGAGAGGAGGGTGGGTTTTTTTTAATTTTTTTTTAATTACTGTTTTAATCAATTTTTGTTTTTTTTTTTAATTTTTTAACCAATTATGTTGCGATAAGTGTCATATAAAGAAAAATAAAAAAATACCCGTTCAACAGGTAACCGATATTTGGGATTGAAGAAAATCAACAACCCCAAAGTTCGGACTATTCTAGAATAATCCAAAGCTGGGATTATTGATACAAAATATGTGAAAGTTAGGATTATTATTTCTAATTTTTCCTTTTTTTAAAATGTATATGGTGTAAAAGTCTAGGGTTTTTTTTCCACTGCATTTGGAAAAATGGTGTATAGTTTGAATTTTAACAATTGAAAACAAACCTTGTAATGTTGATACTATTTATTTTTGTAGTAAATACTTTTTTAAAAAAATAATTAATTAGTCATTCCATTATATATGATCAACAATTCGAATGTAATGACCAGTGAATGATTTTTTTTGTCACTATAAACCAAAGAGTAATACAAACCTATCTTGGCTATCTAGCTATAAAATCAACTAGATTACATTATTATAGTTATAAAAATACTTGCTCTTTTAAGTGATTCCACAACCAACATTGTATTTTGTATGTAAATAAATATCCCAATTAAGTGAAGTTCAAAGACGATCCATGACCTATACGGGGCGGGTAGCTGCATAAGTCCTTTAAAAATGGCTTAAAATTTAATCTAATTATATTCATTACATGCAAATCAAGAAAATTAAGTTGGTCTCATGTAGTAAGATCTTCCATGTAAAGGACTCAATATTATATCACGAATGTCTCAAGTTTGAATCTTCTCATAGCTAATGCGTACATTTTACG